TTCAAGGACTTTCTTTTCCCCTTAGAGATAAGAGTTATACAATTTGATAGTCCTTTAGATAGACCCATTGAAGGGGTACTCCAATTGCCTCACCCTGCATCCCTGTTCAGCATGGAAGAAGCCAGAGTGGTCTGTGTCCTGATTCTCTATTGGTAATTTGGCTAATCTCTTCAGAGGATGGTGTGACAAAAATAACACATTAAAATAACGAACTAAAATAAAATAAAATAATAAAAAATAAAATAAAAAATAAATAATAAATAAATAAATAATAAAATAAAATAAGAAGAGAAGAGAATGCTTGCTGCTCTTGCAGAGGATCAACTTGGGTCCTAATGTCAGCACCCATGTCAGGTAGCTTGCAATCATCTGTAACTACAGTTCCAGGGGATCTGATGCCCTTTTCTGAATTCCTGAGGCATCTGCACTCACATGTACCCATCCACATATGCACATAGACGTAAATAAATAATAAAATAAAATAAGAAGAGAAGAGAATGCTTGCTGCTCTTGCAGAGGATCAACTTGGGTCCTAATGTCAGCACCCATGTCAGGTAGCTTGCAATCATCTGTAACTACAGTTCCAGGGGATCTGATGCCCTTTTCTGAATTCCTGAGGCATCTGCACTCACATGTACCCATCCACATATGCACATAGACGCACACACACATAACTTAAAACCAAAACAAACATTTAAAAATACTTTATTAATTATGTTATTTTTTAATGTGTATGAGTGCATTGCCTACATGTCATACAATGCCTGAAGAGGTCAGAAGAGGATGTCGGATCCTCTAGACCTAGAGTTATGGATGGCTGTTGGCTGCCATGTAGGTGCTGGGAATCAAACCTGGGTCCTCTGCAAGAGCACTCGATGTCCTTATCCACTGATCGATCTCTCCAGCCCCCAAAACAAATAGTTTTTAAAATATTGAAATGGAATAAAGAACTTGCGATTGCCTGGTTAAAACTCCAAATTAAAGAAAAGAGAGAGAGAAGCTGAACGTCGTGGCTCAGGCCTTTAAGTTCAAGGCCAGCCTAGTCTACATAGCACATTCCAGGACAGCTAAGGCTACAGGGAGACCCTGTCTGAAAAAGGGAGGGAGGAAGAGAGAGAGTTGTAACTTTTTAACTATGGTGTAGTTAAAAAGGAGAGGAGGAGGACATTGGAAAATAATAAGGATTAAATAAAATCATCAGATCCCCCATGAATTGATTCTGATGGGTTTATAAGTGGGTGAGGGCCCAAGGGATAGATACACATATACATCCGTCCATGGATGTCTTGAGCTCCATCAGAACTCTGCCAGCAAGAATTCCATCACCTGATGCAGCCCCACAATCTTGGATTAGAAACATGAGCCAAAGTAAATCTCTTTTCTTCATAAGGTACCCAGTCAGTGGCATTGTGTTGTAGCCAATAGAAAGTAGGCCACTTCATATGCCCATTATACAAGTGTGGAAACTGAAATGGCCATTAAGTAATTTATCAGGTAGAAAAAGGTTTAGGTAGAATCATCTAAGACCATCATGCTTACTCTCTAGCAATGAGTTGCCCTCACTCCATCTTAAGGACTTTTTGTGTATCAGAAACCGAAGTTACTGGATTTATATATTTATTTTTTTTTAATGCAGAGAAAGGGTAAGAGAAGTGGGAGGATTTCTTAAAACCGTGCTTGGCAAAGAAATACATGCTAAAAAGGATAAGGGAACTCCCACACTAGACAACTCTAAAACCAGTGTTTAAAAACAAGGAAAGTTTATTCCTCCTTCCAGAGTGTTCAATGCAATCATGTTGGTGGGCCTGTGCTCTAGGCAGGCATTCAGGGACTCTGGCTCCCTCCATCGAATTTTTTCATCATCTTTTATGGTTTCTAAGTTCTCTACTGCATCCCTATAAAAGGCAGATAACAAGAAGGAAAAAAGTAAAGAGATTGCGGGAATGAGCTCATGAGGAACCAAGTCTAGAAGGGACCATGGAACTTCTGCCAATCTACATAAGCCAAAATGGATGACGTGGTCCCACCCTCCTGCCGGAGAAATGTGGTGTGATGAGGGAGGAGGGGGGGAAACAGACATTGATGATGGAGCATTAGTAATCTCTGCTGCCACAAAATTTTGTGTTTCTTTAGGTCTGAAATATTTTACCAGGTGCCCATGGAAGACCATTTCCATGGGCCCCCCAGCAAGGCTCTCACATTCTCCAGGTAGGATCACCTGACTATGCAGGGCCAGACACTGGACTTTCATCTTTTCAGGGTGGAGGAAGTGGACCTTTCAAGCTTAGACAGCAAGATCTCTCTGTGTATTTTCTCCCAACAAAGCTGAGTGAAAGGGCAAACAGAAATTTGAAAGCAATGATTGCTTCCTTTGTGGGGGAGAAGGATACCCACTGAGTTGAAAATATGTGAATTCTGATTTGCAATCATTTCCACTATTTATTTGGTCATGGGACTTATTCTTGCCAAGTACAACTTACAAAGAGCTTTGGGTGGGTCAGGAAAAAGAATACTAGAATACCGCTAGTGTGGTGATGGCCAGAGGACTATACAAGGAATGTATCAATGAACTGTAAGGAGGTAAAGAAAATCCTCAGTATCATCTCTGACATACTGCATCCAAAGGTTAGAAAGATCCATCAGTGCCAGATGCTCCACCACTATGATTTGGCCACACACATCCCCAAACCAGATGGCAAATTTCCCAAATAAAAGGCTTCATAGAAAAAAAAATTCTATTTTTATTTCCTGAATTCAATTTTTGATTTCATTCAGCTCTGTGCTTGTATTTTCTTGGAATTAATTCAGGAGATTATTAATACCATCTTTTCTTTTTTATTGGATTTTTGCCATTTTCACACAATTTAATTTGATGATATTTGGATCCCCTCCCTATTCACACCTGCCCTTGTTTTCTCCTGTTCAATGTAATGTACTTTAGTATATATATATATAAAAGAGAGAGAGGCCTAGAGAGTCAAATTTGTGTCCCCAAATGTTCTTCAGTGTGGGCCTGTTGACTGGAGTCAGGTTAATCTTTGAAGTGCCCCATATGAAAGAGACTGTCGCTGCCCCTTCCAGCGACCATCTGTTGCCACAGTTTCCTTAGGTGGGGTTGGAGCTTCTTACTCCCTTCCTCATGTCTAGCTTGGAGGTTTTCTGATTTGACTTTCCTTGAGACTTGTGCATTCTGTCACCTGTTGCTGTGAGTTCATATGAGTAACTGATGAGCTGTCTGGCTAACTCTGATCCTTATGATCATCCACCATCCCTGGCTTTTAAAAACTCTTCCCCCACCCCACCTCCAATTCTGCAGTGATCCCTGAGCCTTGGGAGCCTTGGGAGAAGTTGGTATGAGTGTCCTATTCAGGGATAAATATTCTATAGCCTCTTATTCATTGAACAGTGGCCAGTTGTAGGTTTCTCCGTTAATCACTATCTTTTGCATAACATAGAAGGTAGTGCTTCAGTCTCTTTGTTGAATTCATTCATGTGTATTTATGTCCTTTTTGAGATCTTTAAAAATATTTACAATTATTCTTTTTAACATTTGGTCTGACATTTTGGTTAAGTCGCTGTTATCGATGACCATTGCTATGAGATTGGAAAATTTTGGAGGATATGTTTTATCTTGGTTAAACATGCTAATAGTGTTTTACATTGGTATTTTTCCATATGTAGATGATTTATTAAGACATTGTGTCACACCCAAGTTGAGTGAGCATTTGATTCAGTGCTTGGTATTCCTTATATTTTGGGGTCTTGACTTGGATTAGTGATACATAAAGTTCTGCTGTGTAGAACCTGGTGTGGACTTATGGAACATGTAGCTTATGTTGATTTGGGCTTACATGTGGTACAAGATACTGAATGTAGAAACCAGAGTCACTGCCATGCCATGGAGCACTTATGCTGGTGGCAGAGGTTTCTTGTGTGCTCAAACTCAAGAGCTAGAATTCTTAAAGTGTAGGAATGTGAGCCAGGTGTGATTGGATCACATTTTCTTATTTTGTTCTTCCAAGAGTGTTCCCAGCACCATAAGTGCTGGACAGATAATGGAATTTACTGTGAAGAGATAATGGAATTTAACTCCTCTGATTTCAACAGATAAAGAATAAACAAGGCCAAGGTAGTTGTGGTATGGCTTAGAATTCTGAAGACCTATAACTTGCCGGGAAGGGGTCAGCCCACTGATTGGCAAAACTGTCTGGAAGGCAGGAGGTCAGATAAATCTTACATGCCTCCCATCATTTGCTCCCAGGATGGTAGAAGTGTACGTGGAGTGTAGTAAATCCCTGAACCTCTTACAAGGAGGTCAGATAAATCTTACATGCCTCCCATCATTTGCTCCCAGGATGGTACGTGGAGTGTAGTAAATCCCTGAACCTCTTACGTGTATAATATGGATGCTGGTAGGGCAGGTGAAGTGAGTTGGTAGTGGGTGTTCTAGGAACTTTTAAGCCATCCACTCTGAGTGCTGGCAGGGTAGCAAAGTGTGGAGAAGAAGTTAATGTTCTGAAGATATCTATATGTATACACTGGTGCTGGTGGTGTGTCAGAAATATGTGCTGAAGTGTGACATACAGGCATCTGTTAGCTATCTAGTGCAGTGCTTCAGGGACAGGGTAAGTGTATCCTGGAGTCAGAGATTCTAAGGGCATGCTTCCTATCATGGTTTGGTGCTGGCAAGGCACAGAAGTCTGTACATTAATTCTTAATGTCAAATAATTTAAGGCTCTAGAAGGCTTATAAGTATTTTATTATTCTGCCTCAGATTACTAGGGTTCCTTCTTCATTATTTTTAGATAATGAATACTTCAATACTTAGCCAGTCCATATTTAATATTATGGTAGACATGGAGGGAATTATAATAGTTTTTCTGCTTTCCATAATTACAAAATTATTGTCTATTCTGATACAATATTTGCTAAAAATAATAAATGATTTTTCTAATGAAGAAAAACTTTTATGTACCTCCTCTCTTTGTCTTTGATGGACTTCAAACTTCAAAAATGATTTTTATTTTCAACACTTTGCCAATTGTGGCCATCTGTGTTAATCATCCTTTACTGCATGAGGAAGGTTTGTTGGTAAGAGTTGATAAATGCATTACATTTCTCTCTAGCTCCTCTTCCACCCAGAGCTCAAGTATCATTGCAGAAGAGGGGGAAGAAAGATTGTAAATTACAGGGGTGATGAATGACCATAAGGAAATAATTTCTGGGAATTTGCTCATATGAACTTATGACAATGATGACAGCATGCACAAGACCCATACAAGCTCAATCTGACAAAAACACAGACTAGAACTGGAGAAATGGGCAGAAGGTCCCAACCTTAGCCAAGGGATTGTTGGCTACTGATCCCTGCTGTGTGAGGGAGGGTTGGTCTTCTTTAAGGGAGTGAAACTAGATAGGCTGAACAGTCTGCTGTGAATGAATTCACATGAAGGGGCATCTGGGCACACAAACTTAACTCAATATGTCTTAACATTTATGAGACAATGCATGAAATTCTGTGTACTGATTATCAGAGGTGCAGATAAGGGAAGGAATCTAAATATGATTAAGATGCATGGTTTGAAATACACAAAAATTTAATATAAATATATTGGAAAAAAACTGTTTTTAAGAATCATAATAATATATGCTATCAGACCACAAATGTGCCATATTATTTATAAAATCTGTGATGGTGATTTCAACACAATAAAATATTTTAAAGCATGTGAAACAATTTTATACAGGTTGATTTGCATTGTATCCATAAAGTCTTGCTAAATGTATAGTGAATTGACTTTTTCCTCATTTTACATTTTATGCCTTTTTATATTGATGCTTTGAATCTGTTAAATAGTTTTTATAATTTTAAATTGATATAATGATTCTCAACTTGAGGGCTGGAGAGATGGCTCAGTGGTTAAAAGCACTAGCTGCTTTTACAGAGGACCTTATGTATAGTTTCTAGCACCCACATAGCATCTAGAAACCATTGGTAACTCCAGTTTGAGGAAACCTGACACCTTTTCTGTCCTCTGAGGGTATTA